GAGTCCAACGACTTGAAAGTGTTGGGAGCCGTCACGTCAAACACCAGTACACAACAGTCCGCTCCCCTATAGAACGCTACGCCCAACGACTGGAACCGCTCCTGACCTGCGGTGTCCCATATCTGGTGTCAACAATATATAAACATTCAATCAAATGTAAAAAACAATTCATAACACCAAACATAATGTTTACAATATTTCAAACAATTGCGAAACAATAAAAAGAGATGTTTTAAAACACATTCAGATTAGATAAGAGTCTCTCAATTGATTCACGTATTACTCATTAAAAATAATCATTATTTGAATAAATCTCATACAAAAAATCAATGAAAACTGACATTTGAATTACGAATACATTACACATATGTTATGCATATTTAATGACAATAATTATTATATAACTAAAGGTAATAAATAAATCAAATAATAATCAGAAAGTGTTTTTCAATTGATTTAATCAAAAAACTCAATGCATTTGTCATTCAATGAAATGATGAGTGAAAGGAGGAAAAAATGTGAGACGTATTGAAAAAGTGATTTACAAACAAATGAATGCATTTATTTGTCTATAAAATAATAACTAATTTAAATCAATGGGAAATAAAAAGCAAAATGAGATGAAAAATATGGCATAATTTTGTGCCAATTAATAGTCAAATAAATGCTTAAAACGTAAATCATATGATAAGCGAGTGATTGAATGAGTATAACGACCACAAAGAGTGTTGACATTGAAATCAGATGTCATTCAATAACATATCGTATAAATAGGGATTTGAGTGCTAATTATGGACACAATTCGTTCAATTCAACACAAAAGGCATTCAATATATACACTGATTGTGACTCCCATTCAAACGCATTACAGACACAGATATGGCGTTCAATACACAACTCAATAGGCGTTCGACACTCACCTCACGATCGTTTACATATTGCCAACCATTCACTCCAAACCATAAGTGTTGAGCAAATGTTCCCAAATATTGCCTAAAGTTCTTCCCTATAGTAGGCATTAGTCGTGTGTTTGGTTTGAGTGCAGAACGCAATCAACAATAACATGAGTCACACATACATTACGTGCGCTTTTAGTCAACTTTTTTGTCTCAAACTTTGTGTGTATTAAAGCCCTTGAAATGAAGGGACGGGTATTGCGCCCACTCTTAATACCCCATCGCATGTGTGGACCCTATTATAGGCGATACTAATACACACGTCTTGTTACCAATAGATCCACTCATAGACAACGAAACCCAATATAAATTGTTTACATTTTTAATCACAAGCAGTATTTTTCCCTTAATTATTACGAATTAAATCTTATAATTAAATAAATTATTGGCGAGAGAGAGAGAGAGAGAGAGAATTTAATAATAAATGACAATCGTAAAATCGTAGCAAAATAATATTAATTTTTTAAATTAGACATCAATTTAAAATGAGATTTTCGCACTTTATTAGAAATATTTGTAAATAAATAAAAACCAATTAATGGTTAAAATAATAATACTATGTTTTTATACAATTAAAAATAATTTAACTCGTGTATTCATCATATAATTTGTTTAATTTAATATATTTAACAGTATTCTGTTTCTTAAACAAAGTGTTGGCCAATCGTTTGAAAAGTGAGAATACAATACACACCGCTATTAACAGCGCATATATAGCAGAAATAAAACACACTTTTATACTGAAAAATAAGTTAACAATTAATTAATTTGAATACTAAATGACATGTAAATTGCGATCACATGTGAATACATACTCGACATCGAAGTAGACATCGGAACAGTCATCGGGAATGAGAATCGTTCGGTAGAGAAGTCGTGAGTGACATATTGTAGTTAATGTTAACTGAGATCCATAGACCAGTGCTATTAAGACCAATACTTGGCTCAATACGTAAACCATGTAAAACCGATGACTGACCGCAGAGCGGATCCAATGATTGTAAATGACATCGTTGTCATAATTCTGTGACTGTGTTTGTAATTCAATTTCATTCTTACGGATAAATATCACTAAAACCACTGACAAAGTGGTCAACGATATGAGGACAAAGTTTTCGCTGAATAGTATCTCAAGATAGGGAACCACTTTTGTATTCATCATATAATTTGTTTAATTTAATATATTTAACAGTATTCTGTTTCTTAAACAAAGTGTTGGCCAATCGTTTGAAAAGTGAGAATACAATACACACCGCTATTAACAGCGCATATATAGCCGAAATAAAACACACTTTTATACTGAAAAATAAGTTAACAATCAATTAATGACATGTAAATTGGGATCACATATGAATACATACTCGACATCGAAGTAGACATCGGAACAGTCATCGGGAATGAGAATCGTTCGGTAGAGAAGCCGTGAGTGACATATTGTAGTTAATGTTAACTGAGATCCATAGACCAGTGCTATTAAGACCAATACTTGACTCAATACGTAAACCATGTAAAACCGATGACTGACCGCAGAGCGGATCCAATGATTGTAAATGACATCGTTGTCATAGTTCTGTGACTGTGTTTGTAATTCAATTTCATTCTTACGGATAAATATCACTAAAACCACTGACAAAGTGGTCAACGATATGAGGACAAAGTTTTCGCTGAATAGTATCTCAAGATAGGGAACCACTTCCAGTTCAAACACACATCTGTTTTCGTAAATTTAAAAATTACTTAAATTTTGCTTTAAATGTAAAGTTTGCTTACATTAGGATAACTAGTGAGGAGACGCTCCACGAGAGGAAAAACTAAAAATATAATTACTTATAATTGAATTGAATTCAACGTTTAATCGTTTACTCTTTACTTTAGTTTGTTTTAATCGATTTTTTAAGTGATAGTAACGTCGGGCACAGTATATGAGTGCCGGCAAACCAACCAATAGTGTGATAGTAGTGGCAATCGGACCGATCGATGCGATTGATAACGCAATGACCAGAAGAATGGGCGCACATATAATGTCAACCAATGGATGATATCGTTTACTGGAGTAGTATTCATGAAGCCCTCCGACAGCTGTTCTGATATTCATTGAATTGAAACAACTCTTTGCAAACGACAGACAATTAAAACGATCTAAAAATAAAAGACAAATGATTTCTTTCCAGAAAATCTATATACAGTATATTGTACTCTACTTTACAATGGATTACAACTAATATTGATTTCTATCGTATAAAAAACTTGTATTGAATTGCAGTAACAATAGTCATAAGCATTATGTAATATTGTTTCAAATAAACATTGAAGTAAAATTTTGTATTATATTTGACAGACAATTTGCTAAAAATATTGTTTAGAAAAAATTTCAAATCTAAGCAAACCATCATTTTATTGGTTTTATAGCATAGTTATTGGAATGCAACCAATAAATAGTATTGAAATTCAATTGATTAGATAATTATGAGAACATATTTAGAGATTATTGAATGAAATAAGTCATGTATTTATAGCCATTTGTTATAATTTCAATTTTAATATCAATTAAAAAGAGAAATTTAAAATCATTAGGTGTTTAAATGCCCGCAGTTTTGCATTAAAACACAGAGAAAAATATTAGCCATACCTTTAAGGCAAATACTTCTCAGGTATTGTTATCGCTATATCAGTGGCTTTTAAAAAATATTCTGATAACAAGTTTTTATTTTTTTGTATATATTTTGAGAAAAACAAAATTTGTGTCCTTTTTATCGATCGGTTGGAAACATAGAAAAAACTTTAGCAAACGTTAAAATTTAAAACCAACAAAAAGTTCATTTTGTGTAATAAAATAATAATAAATTATTATAAAACTCAATGAATTCAATCGTTTGTTTGGCTAAACTAAACAAATTGTCCAAAAGTGTTGGATCGCTGTTCACTTGCTATCAAAGACATTATAAATAGTAAATTGAAATGTGAAAACTTTGTGTCCTTGAAATGTTAGACATATTTTTTTTGCTTATATTTGATTTGAATTTCAATTTGAAGCAATAGTTTGTACGCCAAACAGTGCAGAGCCATGTCGTCCGCTAACTTTCTCGTCAATGACAGTAAATATGATTTTCTCAAAAGACTCGGTATTCAACACAAAAATCTTGGGGTATATGACACGGAATGGCGTGGAAAGGGACCGGTATGTCATGCCATATCATTTGTATCACGTGTTTATAATTATGCATTCAATTGAAATGATAGGTAATTCAATCGATATGTCCGGCAAATAACAAAGTGATCGCAGAGGTAGTGACGGGTGATGTACAAGACTATGAGACGGCTGTCAAAGCGGCGCATTCGGCGTGGAGTGTGTGGACGGGTATGTCATAGGGTTAGGCCATTGAACCCAATTTGAATCTGCATTTTCACGCAGACATACCGGCGCCACAAAGAGGCGAAATTGTGCGACAAATCGGTAACGCATTGCGCGAACATAAGACAGATTTGGGACGACTCGTGGCACTAGAAATGGGAAAGATATTGAGCGAAGGCGAGGGCGAAGTTCAGGAGTACATCGATATATGCGATTACGCGGTCGGTCTCTCCCGTATGATCGATGGGAAAGTGTTGCCATCTGAACGGCCCGGACATGTGCTGATGGAGAACTGGAATCCATTGGGTTGTATCGGTATTATCACTGCCTTTAACTTCCCGGTAGCGGTCTTCGGGTGGAACAACGCTTTGGCTTTGGTTTGTGGCGATACTATGCTCTGGAAGTCGGCGCCCACAACACCTCTCTGTAGTATCGCTGTCACTAAAATCGTGTCGACCATATTTGAGGCCAATTCACTTCCCGGTGCCATCTGTTCGCTCGTCTGCGGAGGCGCTGATGTCGGCGAGAAGATGGCCACCGATACGAGACTGCCTTTAGTTTCATTCACAGGCAGTACAGGTGTTGGTCAGAAAGTAGGTCTCGCAGTCCAGAACCGGTTCGGCAAAAGTATACTCGAATTGGGAGGAAATAACGCTATCATTGTGTGCGAAGACGCGGACGTGGATATGGCTATCAGAGCGGCCATCTTTGCCTGCGCTGGAACTGCCGGTCAGAGGTGTACGACTACCAGAAGACTTATTCTTCACGAAAAGGTTTTTTTTTGCAAAATAATTCAATGAATGAATTGCGAGGAATAGATTCAAACAATTTATGTCATTGTCTTTAGATCTACGACAAAGTGATCGACGGTTTAAAGAAAGCTTTCGCACAAATCAGAGTCGGAGATCCGTTGGACGCGAACGTACTCTACGGACCGCTTCACACGAAGAGTTCGGTTCAGACATATCTGTCAGTTGTGTCGGAAGCGGTCAAAGAGGGCGGACGTGTTGAGTGCGGCGGCAAAGCTATTGAACGAGAGGGCAATTTCGTGGAGCCGACCATTATTACAGGTCTTCCACACGACTCACCACTCGTCCAAAGGGAGACATTCGCGCCCATTGTCTATGCATTGAAATTCACGTCTTTGGATGAGGCCATCGGTTGGAACAATGAAGTCAAACAGGGATTGTCGAGCAGTCTCTTCACCACTAATCTCAACAATATATTCAAAGTAAACCACAATTGAAATTGCATTGAATGTGTATCTAATGCCTGATCTGGTGTGCAGTGGATGGGACCGAAGGGCTCGGATTGCGGTATAGTTAACGTCAATATTCCCACAAATGGGGCAGAAATTGGCGGCGCTTTCGGCGGCGAAAAGGTTTGTCTTATATTTTGCTCTGACTTTCGGTAAATGAATGGTCTGTTTGTGTGTTAAGCATACGGGCGGCGGACGGGAGTCGGGATCTGATTCGTGGAAACAATATATGCGTCGCTCGACGTGTACTATCAATTACGGCAAACAACTACCATTGGCTCAGGGCATCAAATTCGAGTGATGTCTTCAGCTGATCCCATGTACGACCACTCAATGTGACGGCAATCAAAAGGCCGACTCATTACTCTTCAGTGATGTCTCATTCAATGTTTACGATATAAACCATAAAAATGATAATAAAAACAAGTTTTTCACTTACTTTTGGTGTAG